TAGGATTTTATGTATACTCTTCTCCTTGTTTGTTTGATTTCGTATCTGTGTGATTTTGTTGAATTCGTAATTGTATAATGACATCGATGTAGATTTTGTAGAAATTTTGTATTGTCGTGGTATTTTACCATGAAAATAGATCTGGAAAAAAATATGTGTTTTGGGAGATGATGAAATCATGGTTTATTTTGTGAAAACCTTAATAGAATGATAGGTTAATGAAGTAGAGTGAAGCCATTAAGGATATATTGATATGGGTACTATTTTGGGTCAAAATTAGGAGCTTTAAGGTGCTCCAATGGGTGAAAATTCACACTGATGCGAAACCATAATTTTTTTGTTGCAGACTGCCCATACGCGTATGCAGGGAGGCAATACACGTATGAGGGGATAATCCCAGGGGCATACGCGTATGGTACACGCCCTGTCCCCATAGCCAGCCCACTCGTCTGCTGGTACGCGTAAGGAAGAGGGTAATACGCGTATGGGAACTTCTGAGAAGCGTTTTTGAGGAAAATTCCCCTCCAATTGTACGTATAAGGCATGGTCATTATGTGTATGATGCATAGGCATTTGAGGCCCTACGTGTAGCACACACAGGGATTGGGGCGAGGGAGCAAGGCAATACACGTATGTAGCAGGGTCATACGCGTATGAACAAGCTTGTGTGGTGATTTTTTAGTTTTCACGTTTCTTTCTCGATTTCATGTATAATGTAATTCCTATTGGTTTGTAAGGCTAATAGGACGTGAGTAGATATAGGAGGATTAGTAATGATAGGAAATGTGGTAAAACATGGAAATTCTATGTTGATTTCTATATGATGTGTGATTGATTCCTATGTTGATGAGATTGTTTTCATGCGGACAGTCTTGGGCAAAAATGGTAATTCCAGAGGGAATTACGGTGAGTATGTGACTCACATGTGATCATAGTGGATTGTGTATTATGCATTTATGGTATTTGTATTATGCATAGTAGTATGTCATGTATTTTCATGTCGTTTCACGTGGAGATGAGCCTAGGTGGGAATCCATGATGGGTGCCTAGCCTCATCTGGACTCTGTGTGGGAGTCAAGTTGGAGATAAGTTGTAGTTCAGAGGAACGTATACGACGTATCTAAATTCCAAAGGGAATCAGGTTCAAAGAATGAACCGTATAGATTTGTGTTGATATCGCATGCATATTGTAGTGTCAGTTGCGTTAAATTGCATACATGTCTAACTGAATGTGGACTGAGCATGATGGATATTGTCGTGACACTTGTACGTGCATTATAATTGTCTGATTGGCATGAATTGTGTGATTACTACTCCTTAGCATGTGATTTTCACCGTGTAATTATTGAATGTAATTCTCACCCCTTTTCTGTTGTTATGTATGTGCTCCTCGGGTAGTACAGATAATCAGGTACCTGAGTAGTGCTTAGAGCGTGTGTTGCTATTGATCGAGTCTTAGGAGTCGCTCTGATACGTAACACGGGAATGATGAGAATTTGTTTACTTTGTGTTATTTTTCATTTGTTACTTATCTTGTTTTCTATATTATGTTGAACCACAAATTTTATGGAGGTTATTATATGTTGAAGCCTTAGTGTTGTTGAAGTAAAAATTTGAATTTTCTGCTGTTTAATTTATTTTGATGAGGAATAAGATACGAAGTGACTTGATACTTGATGAGTTTTAAGGGATGGGGCATCCTACTTGTGTATTTCTGATTATTCTGCAACTATTTTTATAATTAAATGAATGGGGAGAGTAGGGTGTTACAGGAAGAGGCATTGAACAACATATGGTTTGTTGTTGCTTGTACGACTAATTGTACTAAGCTACTAATATTTAATTTCCTTTCTTGGATTGTGGACTCATCCTCTTAGACGTATGTGTGGTTTTCACTAAACTAGGTAAACAACTATCATGTTATTTACTGCTTTTCTGCTCCATCATTTAGTACTTGCAATTGTAATGTTTCTGGTTTAACTTTTTGAACCAGTTGTCTAGGATATCATGTTCAATATCTGTCCCCTGAAGAATATAATTTCAAATATTCCCTCTCATAAAATACATATAAACTTGTAAACGAGCCATCAACAATGTTAAGGAGACATCTCTTTCAATTAGCCTTCGACAAACTAAAAGATCCCTTAAAATGGTCCACCCTATGTTCAAGGCTATAGCTTGAAAGAGGGGCATACAAAGGACACCCATTGGTCAAGAAGCTCATATTGAATAGTAACACGAAAAAAAAGTTAACATGGTAAGGGAGAAAATACACAAGTGAAAATGTAAAGTTAAATCTAATTTCATCCAAATGGAAAAATTGATGAAGGTACTGATATCATACCAACAATATGTCAAAAATAAATTTTATTACAAACACCACAACCCATGATAAAGATAACTAAACTAATATAGAGATGGGGTACATTCCCTCAGGTCATCAACTATAAAATCTTCCTATCTATTACTATCTTCGTTCTTTTTTATAAGAGACAACTCATTTTTTAGGTTCATTGAATAATCAATGTATTTGGTCAATTTTTAGACTTGATACATTGATTATCCAATGAATCTAAAATGTAAATTGTCTCTTATAAAAAGGAACAGAGGTAGTATATTTTTAGAGATATCCATGCTCGCCATCTTGAAGAGTATGTAAGGATTCAACACACGAGTCAACAAAATAGCATCTTCAAAACTATGAGTACCAACATCAACTATGATTGTTTCGTAGAGTCTTTTGAGTGCAACATTCGCTGTGGTAAAAGAAGTCACCTTCTCATCTACCTAAGGATCCTACCTTTGTCAGTAAGTTCCTCTAGCCTCACATTCTCTACGACAATGAGAATGACCCACTTCTCTACCTATTCCAGTTGTACATTTACCATTTTCCGCTTTTTCATATACATCGTAGCCTTATTTCGGCCTTGTTATTTTCTTCATAAAGAATACACATAAGAGGTGGAATGAGGATGGGAAAACAACTTCAATGGAATTCATAAACTAAAGTTCCTAATGAGTCACCATGACCTTGGGAAGCAACTTCTCGGATGTGAACCATTCATTAAGCTTTTTCGGTACCCGTGTGAAATTTGCCTTCCTTTGATGTTTCAAGTAAACAAACCCAAAAGAGAAAGTTAACTTCGTTAACATAACACCTACAATCTCAAGTAGTGGAAGCCGATACCTATTGGTTTTGTACGTGTAGTCAAAGATCAAAACCAGATGAAATGTATTCAACAACTTCACAAAATCATGATGTGTCCATAATATATCAACAATAACATTCGATTCCTCTCAGTTTCTAGTCTAACACATGAACTTCTCATCATGAATTAGAGTAAAAACTATTGCATTTCCGTTAATGGACTTCTCATAATAGACTGATATGTTGATCTTGCCTTATACAACTGATGCACATTTCTCATATTACAAACATCCTTATCTTTCAATGTAGCCACTATGAACCATGGAATCATGTGGTACTTTATCATGTTATTCACAAAATATCATTCTTCGGATTTTATACGACACAATATGTCATGACTGCCTAAATCCTTAGCTAGATCATGTTTTTAAATAGCACATCTAACCGTTATGTTTAAACCACAACCTCTTTCCACACATCTCAACTTAAATGGACATTTAACTCTTCTAGTACATGTGACTTTCAACTTTTTTTGGTTCTTGTATTTTCCTCCACTCTCACAACCAAGAATCAGTTTTTCTGTTCTACTTCTTTGCCCATTTGATGTATCAGAACTAACGATAACAACAATTATACTGTGTTGTCTCCTAATATATTGTGTCAACGATAACACTTCAGCTTGAGAGAAAATATCTGTTAATTAAAACATAATATAAATTACTCATAGATTCTATAAATTGATTAAAATTTTCAAAATTTAAGATAAAACATGTTAGTAAAACATACTATGGGATGAATAACTGTGTAAAATTTATTGGGGAACCATCCATTTCAGATGCATTCATAAAGAGCAGAAAAATGAAAAATATAGAACTAACAAATTTTTAAAGGTAAAAGAAAAAATCAGTGTATCATATTTTTGAAATTTTCGATAAAACCAAAATAGGTACCAGATTTTTCTAAATATCTAATAACAACTCACACCAGATTTTTAAAAAACATATATAAATTCAAAATTTTCACTATAGATATATAATAAAATAAAATGTATCGGAATCTTACTTTATACTATCAAAATTTCATTCTTTATTGATTTTTTAAGTGTACATTTTTTCTAAATACTATAAAATTGAAGAGAAGTAAATTATAAGCAAAGTGTTTTTGACATTATGAAAATAAGTAGGGGTGCCAAACTCACATTGTGGAGTGCATAGTAGATTCCTCTGAACGTATTGGGCCATGGATCATTTAACCATTTCATGAAGCCCAATACCACGTCACGTTCTTTCTTCGTCATTTCTTTCGTACCAAAAGAGAAAGAGAATAAAACCCTAATTAGTTGGTTTTGCATCGGCCACCTATAATCAACCATTCAATTCTTCAATAAGGTGGCTTCAATTTCTCGGCTTCCACAGTAATCTTTCACTACCTAAATTTTGAAAAGAAAATTGATTAAGATAGAATTTCGGGAATAAAGGATTCGATGTTAATTACTGGCAGTGGATAATAACGTGTGATTTCTTTGCATTTCTGTTCGTTTTGATTCATAGCCGTAGGTCTAAATGAAATGGGATTTTTTCAGAAGTGTATTGTGTTGTAAGAAAATTTGAAGTTTTTCACGTTCTTGCATCTTGAAGTCTTGTAATTCAAAGTTAAGTTGTTAGCTAAGTGATGACTGTACACTGATAATTCATTTATTGGACTTTATCTTACTTATTTCTCCCTGTTCTGTCAAAAAGTTTGAATAAGATGTAAAGACTTTATTTTTATGCTTGATATTTCATTTTGCAGGGCGGTAGGAATTTGATGCTTGGGTGTTTTGATTGTAGTTTCAATCACCTTATTTGCTTCCATGGTATGTTCAATGTTTTGTGTAAATTTTTTAGTTTTATAGAGAGAATACCTTGAGATTCTGTGGTAAGAAGAGTATATCAGATGTAGAGTAATCAAACCGGTTATGGAAGACCTAGAAAAACTGTTTCATGTAGCCAACTCTACTTAGTGGGATAAGGCTGTGTTGTTGTAGGAATTTCAAAATTGATCTGGGGGATTTTGAAATTTCCCATCTCATTCTATTCTGACACTTATTTTTATGTATGAATGCAGGATCCTAAAGGTTCAATTGATGATAAGTGTGACAATAGACTCTACATTGGCAATCTTGATCTGAAAATTACAGAGTGAGACTTGCTAACCTACAACATGAATTCACAGTTTTTTATTTATTTTTTAAATGGTAACATTTCTTACGAAGGTTTGATTAAGAAATAAAAGATGGATAGTATGCATTGAAAAGTATAGGTTTGTATGAGTTACCAATTTCATTGAATAATACTGCACTTTTTTTAATGAACACTTTTGACTCTTCAATTATTTTTAATGTGTTTGGATTTCAATTGCAAGAGCTCAAATGCGCAGACATAACGTTTGAGTCAATCAACCAAGAGAGATAGATTGTTTGAAACATAGGTTTGAGTTCCTAAGAATTGAAATCCAAACACGTATCCTTTGCCTTTACAATTGGTTGTAGGAATCAAGTTTTTAATCACAGCAACCATTCATCTGCTTCGCGATCCTTATTGCAAGAATCGCAATGAAACGTGACTGGTTCCGCCTCCATCGTGGTTGCCAATACATAAAACTTTTTTAGATCTTATGGCCCAGATCATTTTTATAAACTTGGCAGGAACCTACCCCCATTTTCATGTGTTTCGTGCATATTCTTATCTTTATTTTATATTTCAATTGTTTTCTAGAGCTGCTCTACTCAAAATGTTTTCTCCATACGGAAAGATTGTGTCCGAGGACTTCCTGTGGCACACTCAAGGCTCAAAACGCGGGGAACCACGCGGTTTTGCTTTTATTCAGTATAGCGCAAAAGAGGTAAGTTTATGGCATGCTTCAGTTACTTTCACATTCGAGCAATTTCTGATTTCTATTATTAAAGTGAGAATGCAGGAAGCAATATTAGCCACGGAGAAAATGCACGGGAGGTTAGCTTGTGGCCGGCCATTGGTTGTCCGCCTAGCAAGTGAGAGGTATGCTCTGGAAGTAGCAGATAGCTCTATGAAAGCAGTCGATGAAGGGCACAAGTTGCATCTCACTGGTGGTGGCATGGGACAGACAAGTCGAGGTGCGAAAATAGCTGCAATAAAGAACAAGTTGAAGTCTTTAGAGGAAGATAACTCTAGGAACAAGAAACAAAAGCAGAGTGATAATATATCTTGATTCAATAATGTATTGTATGTAGAGTAATTGTGATGCAGTTGTTTGTAACAACACTATTAATATCTTTCATTTAATTTTTTGTTCCAATTTAGATATGAAACCAAAATTGTGTACTAATTTGAGGTGAAAACTGGGATCTTAAGTCTAAACGGAATGAACGGTTGTTTTTCTGAGGGGACACATGTGGAAAGTGTTTAGTTGAGCTTAGAATTCAGTTCAATGGCTGGTTTTTGTGAATTTTTTTAAAATATCCGCCATGTTCAATTTATATACTAAAATAACTATCCTTTTAAATAAATTATCAAAGTAACAATTTTTCAAACAAAAAAAATTGGAGGTGCCACTCAAATTGATGCATGCACTGTAAAATTGTACAAATGTGCCAATTGAAATGATGCATGCTTATAGTGACAACAAAAAGCATATGTAAAAGTCTATTCACTGTTTGCATATCCTGAACGACTTATACTTACAACACTTTATTGTAGGTAAGTTTATTTTCTAACATATAATATTTACGGAAATTTACCGTAGGTAAAATTTTATTTTTTGACATATAATTTGTTGTGCCTACGGCAAATTTGTCGTAGGTATAAGTGGTTTAGGATATGTCTATGGAAAATTGACTTTTACCTACATTTTTTTCCTGTCACTAAAAGCATGCATCATTTTAATTAGTGTTTGTGTACAATTTTATAGTGCATGCGTCAATTTGAGTGGCAGAAAAATGATTACGTTAGTAATTTATTTGAAAGCATGGTTATTTTGATATATAAATTGAAAATTTTGATTATTTAAAAAAAAGGTTTTTGTTATGGTATTCTATTCTCAAAGAGTATCAATTGGCATGGTTTTTGATCTTATTGGATCAGACATGGATTAGCGGTTTGCCACGCGTCGTGAGCTCCTGTGTTCACAGGTGTTGAAGAGGAGGAGGAGGTGTACCTACAAAGTACTCCGATGCCTAAGTGAGTAATGGAGTTAGACAGAGCAAGTACAGAGAAAATAGGTGTAGATTTTAGGATACCTGACCCTCTAGTGAAAGAGGATATTTAGAATGTTCCCCTAGCGCAAGGCTAACGATTACTTTGCATTGTGTTGGATTGCAAGGCTCAATACGAGTAATTGTTAGGGATTACATGGCGTAGGGAAAACCAGCACGTGCGGATCAACTGCCCCATGATCTTCGGAAGGTGGGCTGACCAGTTCTTTGGAAGTGGGTAGTTTCCTAATGACGTGTCCTCGCGTGGGGGGCACGTAGAGCCCGTGGAGAAGACACGTGAGCTCTCTCCGTGCTAGACAGTGGCCTGCCCGACTACATAGAGTATTGAGTGTGCCCGACAGGGGGGAAAATTGAGTCTTGTAGGGCCTTCCCAATGTGATATTGGGTTGGGCTGACTTAAGAGACAGTTCGAACGTCAAGGACTCGTTTGGAGGAGTGGCAGTTTTTTCGGGACACCGAGTTAGGGAGATGCGCGTGACCAGGAGTAAGAGATATCCGACAAGACAGGAGACCGCGAGGAGGCCTGTTTGTCGGCCGTACTACTGACCCTTCACTGATCTCTGGGTATGTCCCCGTTTGGTGCTCTGGCTGACGGTATGACGGAGGTTGAAAGGGAACGGGCATGCTTGGTCTCCGGCCATGAGGTGAAGCTGAGAGGACACGCATGATGTCTTCTAGCGCCACGTGTCACGTCTAATTAGTGCCTAGGGCGGCTACGCGTAGGGGAACTTGAGTGCCTAGTGCTGCCTCGCTTCCCGTGCTAGGGTTATAAATAGGAGAAAAACTCCCTTCATTTTCACGCTTCCTCTTCATCTTCATCAGAATTCTCTCCAAGTTCTTCAGGCCGCGTCCACCGTCGTCGCCGTTAACCACTCTCTGTCGTTCAGATCTTCTTTCTTCAAGCAGGTTTCTGTTTCCTATCTCCGGGATTATGATTTTACCGACGATTTTCTAAGGAGCGCGTAGGATTTAGGGGGGACGTTTGAATTTTTCGGCGACCTACATGAAGTTTTCGGCAGAACTATGAGTTTTCCGGCCGTGCTCATGAAGTTTCTGGTCAAGACGCTGGGAAGTTCATGAGGATTTCGGGAACTTCATGGAGTTCCTGATGAAAGCCTCGAGGACCCGCGATGAAGGTCTCGGGGAGCTGGGATGAAGGTCTCGGGGAGCCTCGTTCCTCTCAAGTGTGTGGATATCGCGGGGGAGGGGGGGTCTCTCTTAAGGGGTCTCCTCGCATCTGTCGGTTCGGGGTCTTCTCAATTGGGGAGCCTCGTTGTCGGGGAGCCTCGTTCCTCGCAAGTGTGCGGATATCGCGGGGGAAGGGGTCTCTCTTAAGGGGTCTCCCCGCATCTGTCGGTTCAGGGTCTTCTCAATTGGGGAGCTTCGCGGTTCGGGAGCCTCGTCGTGTCATGTCGACAGGGGGTGGGGGGGAGGTTCTTCATGGATGAATCCCCGTTGAGGAGAGAGTCTGCTACTTTGCGTTGGGGAGGGCCTGTCCAAGGGCTCCCCGCCCCTCCCTTCGCCCTTTAACTTGATTTGCAGTGGAAGGGTGGATTTGATCTTGGAAGTCGAATTCACCATTTTCCTCTGCTTTTCAGGTAAAACGGCTGTAGCCTTGAGGGCGTCATCCATATCGACGACGAATATGAGCCTGACACTCCCGTCGAGGTCGAAGGAGTCGAACGAGTTCGTACGCCCGAGGACTGGGCCGGGCTGAAACCTCTTAATATTGCGTCGCGTTTTGCCTTCAATGACACAGGCGCTTTTTCCACTGTCGAGGACCGTCTCAAGGGTTCCTCCCTAAGCTGGATGGTTTATAAACCCAAAGACAAACACCGCATCTGCTCGAGGTTCAGGGAGATGAGGTTCTTGATGTATGAATTTGCGTTTCGGGAAGCAGGAATCTGCCTCCCCTTCAGTGATTTTCAGGGGAGAGTGTTCTGGTGGCTCTGCCTGGCACCTTCGCAACTTTACCCTAATGCCATAGCGTTTGTGTGAGAGTTTAAGCTCGTCTACGAGCATCTTGGTATTGGGACTACACTTCCCCTGTTCTTCCGAACTTACACCTACAACGTAAATCCTTCGAAGGTAGGAAAAATTGGGTATCCTTGAAGCATTTGAGGAAGCTGTTCTGGGCGTATCAAGATTTTGTCCGCACCTTCAAGGACATGTTTAATGTTGTGAAGCCCGTGTCCCACGCGACCGTCGACTCCCTGTACGACCTTGTATTCACAGAGGAACAAGGAGCGTGAGGAGATATTGGTGTCGAAGTTTCCGCTCGAGTGGGTCGAGGACCACTTCAACTAGGGCACATACAACTATATCGTGAAACATGTCGACCTGGACGTCGACGATCGACTATCTTGCCAAAAGATAGTCGACTTTGTCTTTGGCTTCACTCCCGCCAAATACGTCCACAAGGATGGAAGTTTTATCCTTGACAAGCGCTGGGAGGTTTATCACGAGGCTCGATTGATTAATACCAAGGCTCTCCTTGAGTGCGGGTCTCGTGAAGAGGCCTTGAGGTTTTTAGGTAATGACTCTTTTCTTTGCGGGGGCGCCTGCATTTTTCCCTTTTGGACTGACTTGACTTTCTCTGTTTCTTGTCGCAGGCCAGATGTTCAACGCACAGGAACACATACTGAAGCTCGCGGCGACCAATGGTGGGAAGAAGGCCAAAGGTAGAGTCTCTCAGGTCCAGCAAATGGTGAGGCCCGACTAAGGAGCTGGTGGTTCTTCCTCCCCTTAATGCAACCAGTCTCCTCCCATGCAGGAGACTTCCTCCAAAATGTGGCGCACCGAGGAACCAGTGCTTTTTGACCTCGAGAAGAGTGCACTCGTGGAGAAGTTTGCGCTACCCCTTGCCACACACAACATGACTTCTTCTCTGGGGACCACTCCCCCGGCTGAGGCTGAAACCAAGGCCATCATGGGGATTGACCGGGCAGCCTAAAGGAAAATGCTGATCTAGGATATGGCCGCCATGATGAGGATATTTGAGATGGCCCTGGTCCTTAATGATTAAACCATCCCTACTTCCGAGCTGAAAATGCTGCGAGATGAGAACACCATCATTGAGGTGGAGAAAAACAAGGCGGAGAGCGACCTGCAAGAGGCTCATACGAGGTACGAAAACCATGTGCGCCTCCTCCTTGAGATGAACGAAATGAGGGAAGAGCTGAAGGAGATCAAGAAGGAGCAGGGTCGATTGCAGACCAAAGTGGCTAAGCTGGAGGCCAAAGCTAAGCCTGTCGAGGATGAATCTGCCGAAGAGAAGCTTATGGCATCTCGGGCTGATCTGGTGTCGAAGATCCGGGAGCTCGAGCAGGATTATCTGGGGGCTCTCGAGGTGGGCTTTAATTGTGTTGTGGAACAACTCCAAGTCGTAAACCCTAGCGTCCAACTCGTCACCGAGAGGACATGACCTTATCATCAGGTGGTCCAAGGTCGTGCGGTCGCGCCTGAAGCCGAAGAGAAAGATGACGATCAAGCTGTGGTGGGCGACCAACTTGAGGAGAATGTAGCTGCTTAATATTGTTTTGTTGTATTTCTTTTTTGTCATGCGCGCCATATTTTGATGTAATTATCCTTGGCATGCGTGCCATATTTTGTAACATTGAACAACGGGCTCTGCCCGCCTTTGGAAATGTAGTATTTCACTTTTATTTCTTGTGTGCCTTGTTTTTCTTGTTTTTCATGTATGTATGAAATAATGTGCGTTGTTTGTTTGTTATCGGGGTTTTGCTCGACATATTTTGTGACCGGCCGTGCAGGGAACTGGCCGGGTGATCGAAGTTGGTACTCGATCGACAATAGAGCTAAGATCTCAGTCGAGGTATTTTCTCTGCAGCGTGAACTTCCCATAGTGAGCTGGACGTTCTGCCTTACTGGTATGACAACGGTGGAGCTCGATTGAGGGGTTCCCGTCGGATCAAAAGTCTGCTCACACACACAAAGGGCATACTCCTGTCTTTTTGTTTTGAATTTAAGAGTCGCG